CTCTGTTGTATAGCTGGACGACCGCCCACTAAGTAGTCGGCTAGGGAGTTCTATGAGTACTACCTCCTTATATACTATTCGGCTTCTATAAAGGTACTCGTTTTTTGAGGATAATTTTCCTAGTTCATGACCGTTCCGCTCTCCTCTTTGCCTTCCATCTCAAGTGGTTTTCTAGGTGACGTTTTCTCATGGGAATATATGTTTCTAGTCCAAGGGCTTGCTTTAGTAGGTAAAACCTTAGAGCTTAATGGCCTGCCATGTACTTATGTAGACCTACCAGTAGACCGACTTGATGTTTAGTAGAAATCGTACCCATCTTCATCTGTCATTGTTCCGTGTGTCCATTTTTGGACATTTGAAATTAATTTCAAGCGAAAAACTATTAGATTCTCTAGTTATTAGGTAATTTCAAGAAATAAACGAGTAACGAGCAACGAGTAAGGAATACTTATGGTACGAGAACGAGTGACGATATATCTATAGCTCAATCTATGTCAATAGAACGAACATCTCCCAAAGTATATCCTATACTCGTATATCTTACCTTCTCAGCGACTCTGTACCTTGATCTTCTAGAGTTTTTAGGTAATAGCGAGAGATGAACGAGTAAAGAGTAACGAATACGTATGGAACGAGAACGAGTGAGGATGATTGCCGTTTTTAGGTAACAGCGAGAGATAAATGAGTAACGAGCAACGAGCAAAGAATACATATGATACGAGAACGAGTGACGATATATCTATAGCTCAATCTATGTCAATAGAACGAACATCTCCCAAAGTATATCCCATACTCGTATATCTCACCTTCTAAGCGACTCTGTACCTTGATCTTCTAGTGTTTTTAGGTAATAGCGAGAGATGAACGAGTAAAGAGTAACGAATACGTATGGAACGAGAACGAGTGAGGATGATTGCTGTTTTTAGGTAACAGCGAGAGATAAATGAGTAACGAGCAACGAGTAAAGAATACTTTTGGTATGAGAACGAGAACGAGTGACGATATATCTATAGCTCAATATATGTCAATAGAACGAACATCTCTCAAAGTACATACATACTCATATATCTCACCTTCTAAGCGACTCTGTACCTTGACCTTCTATAATAGCGAGAGACGATGGAGTAACGAGTAATGAGTACGGTTGGACCGAGAACGAGTGACGGTGACTGCTGTTCCTCTGTAGCTCTATATCTTTTGTCAATAGAACGAACATCTCCCAAAGTATATCCCATACTCGTATATCTCACCTTCTAAGCGTCTCTGTACCTTGACCTTCTAGTGCTTTTAGATAATAGCGAGAGATGAACGATTAAAGAGTAACGAATACGTATGGAACGAGTACGAGTGACGATGATTGTTGTTCCTTTATCTTTATAGCTATATCTCACCTTCTAAGCGACTCTGGGCCTTGACCTTCTAGTGTTTTTTGCAGATCCCTTGCATTCCAGCCATCTGGCAACGCTCTGCGTCACTTGAACAGCGATTACAAAATCGCTACGTCGCCATCAGACCACCCCATCCCCCCCCTCCGCCCAAAGGGCTCCCCAAGCAACTCCACATTTGCAAACATCTCTCTCCCCTTCTGTCCTTCACACCTCCGCCCTCCACTCCGGACGCGCTCTCTAAACAGAGAATTTGCAAACTTGTTCGTTCGCTTTGCTGCACCCCGCACTCCCCGCACCCCGCACCCCGCACACCCCAGCCCCTCTGGCCAGGCCACAAACTGTGTCTGTGTCACTCAACCCACTAAACTAGCGCACAATGGGAAATGCGATGACGACGGCAACGACGACGACGTTTCGACGCTGGGCAACGGCTCACACTCGTTTCTCTACTTCTCTACTGCTCTCTCTACGGTCTTCGCTCTTCGCTCTTCGCTCTTCACATTCTTCCATTACCCCCCTCCCCCCCACCCCCTCACTCGACAGAGCAGACATTGCACTGCCTCTGCTTACTCCTTTCCCTGCTTATGCTGCTGCTTCTGCTCCTTCTCGTTCCTCTTCTGCTCCCCTCCTTGTCCAGCATCTGTTTTCGTCTCTCTTTTGCTGTTTGCTGCCTCGATTCACGTGCTGCTTGTCGCCGTCGCACGCTTTTCGTGTGCTGTCGTTTCGCTCGTTCGTTTCGTCTGCTGCATGCAACATTTTCCGCACGACGTTGCTCCTCCTCCTCCTCCTCCTTCTCTACCCTCCTGGCTAGGCAGCCAGCTCTCAGCGGAAGTTCTGTGTGTGTGTGTGTGTGTACTTATGCCCTGGCTGCGTGTGTGTGTGTGTTCTGTTGTGTGTGCTGGGTTCAATGTCTGGTGGTTGACCTACCCACACTCCACTCCAAGCGCTTTTCGCCAAAGCAACGTAGGGAGGGGGAGGGGCGGGGAAGCCAGGACTCCACTTTGCTTATTTGCAGAGACTCCTCCTGCCGCTGCCACAACTGCTTGGGGTATTAGAAAGTGCCCCGCCCAGAGACCCGCCACCATCGTCTCTCTGTGTGACAAGTGAAAACTAGAAAATTCCACTTCTCACTAAAGTAAAAGTGTCTTATCAGGCACCCCACTGGAGTGGGGGTGTGGGTGTGGGTGTGGGTGGCCGCAGGACTCCTTTGGCGTCAACAGGACTAGACAATAAGCTCCAGCATAGAGCTGCATGCATTTCCAGCAAATTGTAAGTAAGTACATTCCCCGAAACGATTGTCTTCCATCAATCGCCCAAGACTTGACCAAGGGCATGGCCAGAAGGGAGCAAATGGGAAAAACCACTTATTTGACTGCTTCTGCCACCAACTGGTTTTCCACTTGCAGTTTTCCCCACGGCTGAGAGACTCCAGAAGATTCAAGGCTAAGCCTGGTTAGGTCATTGCCATTGCCCAGGCATTTTCCCCCGTGGAAAAACTAGTTGCAATACCCAGGCCCCACTCTCCACTCTCCACTCCCCTCTCCCCTCCCCCAGCTCCAACTCCAACCGAGCAATGTGCAATGTTTGCTTAGATGGATTACCGAAGAACTGAGACTGGCTGAACGGGTTTCGTTCCAGGGAAAGTTCTAGGTGCCAGAGAGAGAGAGAGAGAGCGAGTGTAATAGTGCTAGAGAAATGGAGAAAGTTGCAATTGGCAAAAGAGACACTTGTGCCCAGCCCGCCAGGCCATTGTGCAACCATCTCCCCTGCTGCCGCTTCAGGTGGGAACTAGGTGAGGTGAGTCACAGTTGCAACCCTTCCTGGGGCGAGGTGGGGTTGCACTCTCCACGAAATGACAAATTATCCTGCACAACCTGCTGGCCACGACACAGACATGTCGGGGACAGGGACAGCACCAGAGACTCCCTTCTGTAATCAAAGGGGGGAACGGCCTCAGGACAACTGGCACCTCGGAACAGGTGCTGTGTCTGTCCACGCTACCCCCTGGCCTGCGATGGGTCTTTCAACTGATTTCAAGTCTTAACAGCAAGAACTACTAAGCCCCACCGTCCAGATCGAAAACATTATCGTATTAGCCATCCAATTATTGGCTAAACCTCTATTAACCTTTGTCGCTCGGGGTAATGCCCTTGCCGTATGACGAGTATGTACACGTACATTTCGAATGCTGTTGTATCCCCTAAGCTGGTGTCCTTTATGTGTCTGCTGTGTGCACTCCCTCAACAAAGGACCCGTATCCAAGGGCGAGTGCCAGTGCCAGTGCCAGTGCCAGTGTTGTCCCCCTGTCAAAGCTCAACCCTTTTTTCGAGTCGAGTCGAGACGAGTCCGAGGCATTCGCGCAACATTCTCCTTGGTTTATTGACCTCCATGTTGCACTGCATTGCGTCATCGGCTGGGCTCATCTGTCCCCGGGGCACGTTCCGCTCTTATCACGCAACAGGCATCAAAAGTGTCAGCCCAATAGTCTGTGTCTCCTCCCATCTCCCCTCTCTCAATCCCTCCCTCTCTCTCCCTCCCAGCCAAGTGCAATTGCTGCAGCAGCAACGATTACAAATTAGCGAAAGTTTTGGGCTGGAGAGGGAGGACAACTGTCTGGGACCTGACATCGCCGCTTGCTTGTTTGTTTGTTTGTTATTTGTGGGAATGGGAGAAACCAGGGAATGTGGAATGGCCAATGGGTGTGCTGTTGGCCACAGGGGGGTTGCAACACACACACTCGTTGCGTGGCGGCATAATAGCTGTAATCTATATCATTTTGCACAGTTTGCTGGCGTCGTCGCCAGTGCTTGATGTTTTGGCCAAATAAGTGGCCATAAAACGCAGCCATAGACGATGCCAAGCCGCAGATGGGGCAAGGCAAGGCGATTCGGGCACTAGGGTGGAAACAACTCAAAGGGTTACTGGAAACAGCTTGGAGCGCCATACACTCCCAATGTCATCCCAATGCCACTGGATTTCTTTCCATTACGATCATAGGAATACTCCACTGGAATTATTCCACGATCCATGGAAAGACGAGCCATCGAACCCTGCTCTCACCCCACTGCTATCTCTCTCCATAGCTTACTCTCTGGACGGGGCCTCGGCTGCAGGTTCGGGCCGACTCTGGTCTCTCCATCGGTTCGGCGCGGCTCGTGCTCTCGGGCGCTATAGCGCAGGGAATAATGGAAACGCAACGGAATATTACGAACTTACCGTTCGAGGTTCTTGACCTGATATTCAAAGCACTTGGTAGAGAGAAGGATCAATAGAACTGGGGGCAAGCGCATGAGGTTCTGGGCACAGTATTTGCCCACCACGCTAGCGATAGATGCCGACGGCTTCCAAGCCACTTTCATCTTGCAGAACTGTGGGTCGACTATTGTAGAGTGTTTTGGGATCGGGGCGAATGATAGGACTGGAATTCTCAAATTGGACAAGCCTGTGACAAGTAGAACTCCCTTAAGTGATGCAATTGTGTACCTAAGGTGTACGGATAACTTTATCGGGGCTTTGGAAGGGCTCACAAAACAGAGAACGTTAATTAATCGGTGGGCTCTCTCCGATATGTAGTTTGGATAACTAATAGATAGCGTTCCTACCCTTTTTCAGTGCCTCATATACAGAAACTGATCGAGTTCGAGGCCTCAGTCTACAAGCCATGCAAATTGGATCTTCTGAAGAAACTTCGCTATCGGACAGTGCGCGAAATGCGCATAATGCTAAACGGGGAAGCTCCTTCGCTGTCATGGCCCTCCTCAGAGGCGCTCGGATGGAAAAGATGCCTCCCTGCCCTAGAATCCTCAAATCCTTGGATCCCAATACGTTCGATGGCGATGGCTTCCTCGAAGTCCGACGATCGGCAATGCGTAATTTTAAGAACTATTTTGATCTTGTGGCTTCTAGGGCTGGCATTCCCTTTAAACCGGTAATTCTTGATCGACCAAAGTACAGGCTGGAAGAAAGGATGCGCAGTAGGAATCCGGCATCGAAGCGGGTGGTAATCTACACTTTTGTAATTTACAGATTCCCAGGACGTTGAATCCATAATTAATAGATCTCGATTACAGATACGCCGAGCTCTAGGTGTTCCACACTTCATCGTTCCATCATTGGTATTTACAATTTATGAGCGAGGCGACCGCGCAAAAGCAATCTGTTGCGCATAGGCCGGTGCCCGAGAGCCATCGCAGTGCTTTCACGGAAATACAGTAATTCTTCTTACGCACACAGTTATTTTCGATCCAGTGATCCAGTTATTCGACTAGTCAAATATACAAATACAAATACAATTGTTTTTCACAGAAACTTATCTGCAAAAATACATGCAGTGCGTGCTGGCACCCGCACCGGCACCCGCACACCCGCTGTTCCAGTGCCAGCGTCAGTGAGCCGCTCAGAGAGAAAGAAAAAGCGAGAGAGAGAGAGAGAGAGAGGGAGAGAGAGACCTCTCCACGCGGCTTCTCACTGTTTCTCTCTGCACTGCACTTACGAGGCTTGCGTTTATCTGTGTTTCAGTTCCATTTTCGCTCTCTCGGCGGCGCGGCGTTGGCTTTGGCCTGCGTCTGGGTCTGGGTCTGGGCGAAACATTTCGATGGCGGCCACAGTGGCCCAACGGAACATTTTGGACCTTCCGTACGAGGTTCTTGATCTGGTTTACAAAAAACTCAACAGCCTGAGCGATAGAATCAGTCTGGCCAAGGCGGATGAGTATCTGGGCGAGGCCTTCGCCTTCCACAGTCGCGACCATTTCCGGCAGGTGGACACCTATACATATTTTCAGGGGGATTGGTGGCCCTTTCTGCTGTCCCTGTGCGGCACGCATGTGCGCGAGTTCCGTTTTGCCACCGGTCACAATTGGAGTGAACGCCTGGTCAAGTTGGTGGAGCGCCACTGCCCCCACCTGGAGAAAGTGACTTTGTGTGTGAATAATATCAGCTGCAAGGGCATCAGGTCGTTGGTTACAAACGCCAGTGCAACAATAAAAGAAATCGATTTGTATGTGAATGACAGTCGTATCTCAGAGATACTTCATGAGTATCCCGATTTTCCACAGCTCCGAAAGGCTAGATTCTGCAAGTTGTCGTATGTGGATGGTGAGTGTCCTCCAGTCCGCTATAATAAACATGGCCTTTGCCTTGAGTCCTTCCATTTCTCCGTCTTTCAGTCCACTCTATACAGAAATACAACACAGTGGAGGATTTGGCACTGCAGTCTGGAAGTCTTGGCCACGATATACCTATCAAACTATTCGAAATTACTGCTAATCTAAAGAAACTGCGTTTCTTGAAGGTGTTTCATTATAATTTAGTAGAGTCTGGGGATGGGGACGGGGACGGGGGTGGCGATGGGGATGCTCTACTGGGGATGCCAATCCCATGTCCCAACGTGGAATACCTCCAAATGGATTATTGTCAGATTTCAATGGAGTTGCCGCTTTGCCCGAAGATCAAATCGCTGAAAATTTTCTACTGTATATCGAGTATCGAGGACGTGCTCTGGAGGTTCATCGTGAAGCAGGGAGGCACCTTGGAGGATATCGAGATTAACTGTCGTCCCTCGCTATGCGATAGCGGCGGTTTTCTCGAAATTCTCCGCAGCTGCAAGAGACTCCGTTTGATTCGCATTCAGGCACAAAAGATCAAGTTCACCAGGGAAGTGGTGGCCACCATGATGGACATTCTGAAGGACAATGGCGTCACACCGGATAGGCCGCTACGATTAATACTCTACTGCAATGCGAAGGTTTTTTGGATCGCTCAATGGGTGAGTTATTTTTTGAAGCAAAATGCCACAAATTTCACTCTCTACCTCTCTCTCTCTTACACTCTCTTTCTCTCGTTTTGTGTAGCTTCGGTCAAATAGCAATCGGAATTTAATCTCTGTTCAGGAGTGGTGACAATAATTATCAGAATTAAATATGGCAAGTAATTTTGTATTTTGTATAAATAAAACAACAAATTAAATGTGTTTTTTTGTTCTTTCCCAAACCAAAATACTTTCTTGTGTTACAGCCCATGCCCATACTCGTACATGCAGTTGCTTCTCGTCAGAGAGAGTAGGCTCGCCGCTCAGAGGAACGCATGGGAAAAGAACGAAGCATTACAGACCTGCTGCCGAAACACCCAAGCATATGCACATGCACATGTCTTCTGTTTATTCCAAATAAAATACCCTGCTCGCAAAATCATTTCACCATCTTTATTTTTCCTTGCAACATAAAGATCTTCTCAGCTGAAAAACTGATGCAATAAACCGGAAAAGCTTTGCCCCAAAGAAAAAGATAGGCACTGAAAGAGAGACAGAGAGAGAGAGAGCAACAATGAGAGCTTTGGAACGGACTGCATAACGTTTTGAGAGTCGTGGCGTCGCGTCGCTCGGTAAGGGGAACGATGGAAACACAGCGGACTATCACGGACCTGCCGTTCGAGGTTCTTGACCTGATATTCAAACAACTCGATTATCCGAGGCAGGAATGTCAATTGGCGTACGCCCATGAGATACTGGCCGAAGAATTCGCCTACCAAAGTCGCGATGATTGCAGAAAACTTTCCCTTGATTACTGGTGGACACCCGACACCTATGCGCCTATTTTGAAGACCTGCGGATCGACTGTACGGGAATTGGACTATCACAAGGGTAGCGATGAGTTGGCAAAACACTGTCCTCACTTGGAATCCATTGATTTCTGTGTCGATTCAAGAAATTGGCAACACGTAAAGTCCTTGATTCTGCTACTCAAAGGTAACAACACGATAAGATCGATGGTTATAGACATGGATGACAAAAATATCCCCTTTACCATCCTGCAGGGCCTGACAGAGTTTCCACAGTTAAGAAAACTGGTTTTCGTTCATTATATAGGGGATGCAGGTGAGGATCCTTTTTGCAATCTCTTCAATGATCCACCTTTTCAGTCTATGAGATACGGAGGTTGGTTCACTTGGAAGACTTGACATTAAGGTCCCATTTGAGCGGTTTTCCTATCAATATATCACCTGAAGAAACTTCGGTACTTGACGTTGCGCATCATATATATGGAGGCCGAAGCCGTAGCTGAAGCCTCTTTAATGCCGTGGCCTGCATGAACTGGTGCCATCTCTCAACCGAAATTCCAGTCTGCCCTAAGCTCAAATCATTCACACTCACGTCATGTGAATGCCACATCAAGAACTTGGTTTGCCAAACTATTTTGAAGCACTCCAATAGCTTTGAATATCTGGACGTATACGGCCGTCCGTCGGCCTTCGATGGGGATGGTTTTTTCGCGGTTTTGCGTGCCTGTAAAAAACTCCGAAAGTTTCGTGATCCACTGGGAGACGTGACCATCTACAGGGCGTACGTGTTTGCGATGGTAGACATTCTGCGCGAAAATGGCTTCAGACCGGAGAAACCGTTCAAATTGTGGCTGTTCGACCGTCCACAGATGAGGTGGATCAAGCGATTGGTGAGGCAAAACCACTTATGGCCGTCATATGATCCATAGAAATGCTTACTTTTCAGGTCGGCCAGAGTTCGAGTCCTGGAATAATTGACATCCATCTTGTTGAATTGGAATAATGCGAATAAACGTTTCATTTGACAAAGTTATCTTTTATTTTTTTTTTCTTCTGAAAATGATGCCCAAAACACACTCCAATTACACATACAACAAGCCCTCGCTTAACACGAACTCGGTCATAAACGAGTAACAAATTTGCTTGCTTTTCCGCCTTTTAACACGCTGAAAGCCTTGTCGATTGATGCCTGAGAGCTTTCTTGTATGCACCAGTACGCACGGTGGCGTCTAGATGCCGGGGAATCGCACATTTGAGCTGTCAGATGCAAGAACCAAAAGTGTTCCACTAGGTGAACAGATCTAAAGATGCTGTGGTACAGTTTGAACAAAAGTGCCACAATGTAGATTCCGTGATATATTAGATTTTGCTCATTTAAATGAAAGCTATGATAGGGTCCGGGAGTTGCTTGAAGATCGAGGGTCTGTTGAATTATTGCTTGAGATTTCTGTGAATAAATGGTTGAACGATAGAAAAACTTCAAGAAGGATTCGCATATGCTAACCAGGCCTTGGCCATGTCTCGCTTAAGAAGAGGTTTTCCAGGGAGGTAGCCCCCGTGTTAAGCGAGTGCTGGGTGACCCCTGAAAATCCTGTGCAGATTTGTATGTATTTCCCCTTCGATTGCAATCGGACAACTATTATAGCCGGAATGAACAAAAGCCCCTATCGTTTGGCTCTTGAAACACCTGGCCAGAGCAATGCAATGGGCATCTTATTTTCGAGGCACGTGTGCTTCGACTGGTCTCCGCTCTAATCCCCATGTCTGGCTACCGATTCTGTCTGACCCTAGACGGGGGAAATATTTCAACAAGTCCCCCCAGGAGTCACAGCAGCAAAGGTGACAATTTAGCCAGCGACGCCATCGACCCTCCTCCTCCTCCCCCCAAAAATATGACTAATGCTTTGCACAGAACCCAAATCCCACACGAACTTTGAACTTGCGGTTGAACCTATAGTCCCTACAAACCAGCCCACATCCCACGAGGACAGGTGCAATGGACACACGGCGGCGCCACCAAAATTCCTGCCCTGGCTTACTCATCGTGGCAGTGGGAGTGGGAATGGGAGTCGGGGGGAGAGATGATTCACCTTCAACGGCTGCAGGACGGAATAATAAAGCAGGATAAGCAGCAGCAGCAGCAGCAGCAGCAGTAGCAGCAGCGAGGAGGATTCATTCCAAATATTGTGCAGGTTCGGGCGGGGACAAGTGGATGAACTTTCTGCCTCCCGAATCCAGTGCGGGCGAGTGAGTCATCGACCGTGGGCGGCTCCTCAGCCGTAAATAAAACAAAGTGCTCGTCTTTATCCCTATCCCATCCCTACCCTACCTATCTTCGAACCCGACCGATCCCCTACCGATGGAAATTAGTTGTCAATGAACTCTCGAGACGGGAGGCGACTGACTTATAGCATACTTTTGGCTACTTTTGGGCCCGGCCCGGCTCGGCCCGAATCAGTTCACTGCACGCACATTGACCCAATAATTGGCTTTGGGGGCTCTGGCTCTCTTTCTCTGCCTTTGGCCTGGTCTGGATAGAGCACCGCGGGATGCCTTAGCACCGCTTGGCCAGCCAGGGAACGGGGCCAGCCCCAATTGCCCCGAAATCGAAACGCCATTGAACATGGGAGCGCGATGTCGCACCCACTTTGTGGTTTCGCGGTTTGTGGGGGGAGGTGGGAGGCGGGTATGTAAATGTCTTCGCTGTTTACGGGAATTTTATTGCACATTAGTCTAGTCCTGCTGGATCCCTGCTAATTGGCAGGGACATTTGCCAATCTATTTATGACTTTTGAACGCAGACAGCGTTTATTTTGGGACAACTAATTGATGAAAATACCGAACATACTGTGAATACTAATACTACTAAGTATTTTCAGTATACTTAAAATACAGAACATACTAAAAAAAAACTAAAAATACCACACATACAAAAAAACTGAATTTACTGAAAATACAGTATATACTAAAAATACTGAAAATACTAAAAAATACTGAAAATACTAAAACAGACTACACATACAGAATATGATGATGAATATGAAAATACTGCACAGACAAAAAATATAGAATGTACTAAAAATACTGTATATGCCAAAGATACTGAACATATAAAATATAATATATATAATATATATGAATATACTGAAAATACAGTATATACTTAAAATACTAAAAATACTGCACATACTGAATATACTGAAAATACTAAAAAAAAGTGATGAAAATACATACTGCATATACTGAAAATGCTTAAAATACTAAAAATACTGAATATGCTAAATATACTAAATACTAATGAACATTTTAGAGCTCTACATACGTTCTCGTTTGAGGCCGGATCCAATTGATTCCCTCAATCTGTTTCTGCATCAGAGTCTGCGACTGGGGCTGAGACTGGGGCTGAGACTGGGACTGGGACTGGTGCTGAGACTGGGGCTGAGGCTGGGCAAGGTCTTGGCGTTTGACCTTTGAATGACCATCATCACAGTGGCAATGTCGAATTTCAATGGCTGTAGTATGAGTGACACGTGTGTGCCACATATCCTTGCCCTGGAAAGAGAGAAAATTTGGTTAAACAATTGTCAAGGAAATGCAAAACAAAAACCAAGAGGAGAGGCCACTGGGGGACTGAACAGAGAAGGGTTCGGTCGTGGTCCAGACTGACGACGACAGCCCTGAAATTAATGCCTCTGTCTCTCTATCTATCGCTGTCTGCCTCCGTCTCTGTCTCTGTCTCTATCTCTGTCTGTCTGGGAATGGATCCCCTCCTCCCCCCTGCCACGCACTCAATGTCATTTGCAGGAGTTTGGCGGTGATGCTGGTGATGGTGGTGGTGGGGCTGCTGCTGCATCATCATCCAATCAACCCGGCAGCCGGCTGAGGCAGCGCCCCAGCAGGACCTTGGCAATGGGAGGACCCGAGCCAAGGACCCGAGCCCGAGCCAGGAGCCGACTGCAGCAGCAGGCGCCTGGCTGCATGCAACGCTTCTTGTTCGAGGCGAGGCGAGGCGATGCGATGCGGAAATGCGCATGCCTGCGTGTCCTTGCCCTTGGTAGCGTTGAGCAGGAGGGCCTGACTGGCGTGGCATGGCGTGGCGTGGCATGGCGTGGCGTGGCCTTCCTCCCATCGTCGTAGTGCCCCTGAAAACTGTTAACCTTCGTGCAGGGCCTGCAGCTGCAGCGAAGGACTCTCTGCCCACATAGCGTGGCATGTGCAACGTTGCAGCTTCGAACCATGCGCCTTGCATTCACCGCTGCTCTCTCTCTCTCTCTCTCTCTCTCTCGCTGTGGCTGCAGAAACTGAGAACTGGCTGCGAGTGGGGTCTACTCCCGTCTGTGCTGTTTGAGGGTGATGTCTGGCTGCCCCTTCCACGTGCTGCATGTTGCAAATTTCATGGCGCTGTCATTGACCATGATATTTGGCCAAAGTCCCGCTAAAAGCAGTGCCGCAGACGCGTACCCCCATTGCCATTTGCCATTAACTCAATGAAACAGCCTCGCCCTTGCCCTCGGATAGGAACTCCTGGCTAGCATTTTCCTGGACAAGCCAGAACTGCGACTAGGGATCGTTGGGATCGTTAGGAAGGACCGTTCTAAAAGCTTGAGCATATACCCTGGATCCCTGGATCCCTGGATTTGGCATTGGTTTTGCCCATGATCAGGTCGGTCGAGCAGAATCAAGGTTACGCGTCGCACTTCATTCCATTAAAAACTTACCCCAAGGGAAGCCAAACACCGTTTGATTCCAACCCCCAGACGGGCAGGAATCGAAGCTTAAGGCCTTAAGGTCTGTCGGTCGGTCTCCCACCCACCCAGTCAGGCGGAGAAATAATTGTAAAGGAAATATGTACTCGTATCTCTGCCCGACCTAACCAAACAAAATGTAAGCCAGCGGAGTGTCTAGGAAACCATCTCCTCCTCCTCCTTCTCCGTCTCGTTCCCCCTTTTTTTTCCAACTTCTTAGCAAAGTTTCCTTTCATTTCAACGCTCGAGGGGTTGCAACTCCAGACAGACAGAGAAACAGAGAAGCAGCGAAACAATCCACCCACTTCGGGCACATTTTGCAATTATTTTTAACTTCTATGCGGCGACAACTCCCGGAATGCCACAAAACTTTGCAACCCCAAAAGAGAAGTACGACAAAAGCCCTCGAAAAGGGGCAAACTGGTGCTGCTGCTGCCGCTGCCGCTGCGACAGAGGAAATCTGCTTCCGACGTCCACGTCCACGTCCACGACCACGACCACGGTCATGTTCATGTTCAGGGCACCCGCACCCACCCCCAACACACGCCCATTGTACATTGACTTCTCTGGGCTATGCTTTGCTTTGTTTTCTGCATTCTCTTCTGTCTGCGCTCTCACTGAAGCTCGCCTGCTCTCTCGCCTTCGCTCGCCCGCTCTCTGTCTCTCTCACTCTGGCATTCCCATACCACGACCTACCTTACCCATACCCACAGTGGGCTGCCGCTTCTGCCAGCCATTCTTCAATGCACAACTCCCGCCGCTGCAGTCGCCGCCGCTGCCATCGCCGTCGCCGTCGCAGTTGGCGTTGCGTCGCTGTTCGTTTTCATATTGAAAGTAGAATTTTTCACTTTTGCAAAATTTCTGCCGCGATTCGGCCACAGTCTCGTTAACGGCGTCATGTCGTACGCTGTGTTCTCTCTCTCGCACGGTTAACAGTGCTCGGTTCTCCCGGTTCTCCCGGCTCTCCCGGCTCGTTCTCCCGGCCTCTTTCGGCTACCGACTGCTCGGCTGCGCACTCGTCTTACCAACCCGACCGTATTTTGTTCTTGTCCAGCAACCAGCCAACTTTCATTTGTTGCAACAATTTCAATTGCATATCGGTCGGTGCCAGGTGCATGTCCCGAGCATCTCTCCGCTTTTTCCACCAGCCACTAGCCACTAGCCAGTATCAGTGGCAGTATCTGACGGATGCGTAACGCGATCAAGTGCAGGCCCTTTGTATGTGTGGCAAGTTTTTTGTTTTTGTTTTCGTTTTTTTTTTTTTTTGGTTTTGTGGGAGCTTTGTGTGCAAATTCTAAAGAAAATTCGAATTAAATAAAAATTATGAATTCATTAAAAAATATGAAAACTTGCGATAAATATGAATTAATCGATGGAAAGTGTTTTAAAAAAAAACCTAGAATAATAATATGAAAATCTAGGAACAAAAAGTGTTTGGTTTTGGCAAATAAACAAAAACAAAAAACATTCAAATTATACTAAAAACAATTTAAAAACGTGAATTTAAAGTGAAAATATCGGAAATATTAGAAAGAACCCAAATCAAAGAGGATTGAGTTGAAACAAGTTGAAAAATATTTCATTTGAAGTGTGTAAATTATGCGAAGCGACTTTCAGAATTCCAGAAATACAAGCTCTACAGCATCCGATGTCTGTCCACCTGCTGACCCACCTGACCTTTCACTCTCGGAATCACAACGCCAGCAAAAGCCTCAATAAGTGGGTGGAAAAGCGGAACCACTCCAGACCTCGAAGCACTAGAAAAATCGGTTCGATCCGGGAAGGACAGAGCACTCATCCTTTCGGCTCATTAAGCCTTCATGGGCGACCCATACCCCAGCTGTCTGACTCATTCCCCCGTTCGAAAACTCCGTCTGGAGTTGCAACCCTCATTAGAATCGGTCCGTCGGCCGCCTCCCCCCCCCTACCGCCCTGTCTGCGCTGCAACTCCACAGATTCGCCCACCAGCAACTCCACTTTTAACATTGTCCCAACAGAGCTTTAACAGTGGGCACTGTAAACGCTCTGTGGACGCTCTGTTAAAGCGAGCGCCGCCTAGGCCTTGCCTTGGTATTGGTGAACTTGACAAATACACGCGCCGCCACTTGCTCTCGCTTCTCCGGCTCTCTCTCTCTCTCTCTCTCTCTCTCTCTATCTCTTTCTGTCTGTGTGCGGCGGCTGTCGGCTACCTCTCTGTCGTTCTGTTTCTGTTTCTATTTCAAGTTCTTTTTCGCAATGTTAAGGTCAATACATTGGCAGTGAGTGTCTGTGTGTGTGTGTGTGTGTCTGTTTGCATTTCCACATGGCTGCAGCTCTGTGCAGCGCAGCGCAGCGCCGCGGTGAGGTTGCATTTTGTTTGTTGATTAGTTCGCTATTGAATATGTTGCCATGCACACACGAGCGAATGCCCACTCTCTCAATCCGGCAATCTCTCAATGAATGTCATCATTTGCTCATTTCACATATCGCCTATAACGGGGTATTTTGCACTTACGTTTGTTTTAGTGTTTTGTTTTTTTTGGAGGTCTCTCTCGCTCGCCGTCTGACGTTTGCGGAAGCTTCGGCCCGCCCAATGCCAGCGCCCGAGGGAGGTCTATGAACGGGGTCGGTCGGTCTCCGGAAGGAATGATGATGCATTTAACGGCACTTGGGGAGGCCGGGGAGTCCCGGTTAATCGCGGGCAATGAGTGAAAGTTCATGAAATTCACCCAAAATGGATTTTTGTGCCTCCAGGAAGCCTCCACTCCAAACACACACCGACACAGCAGACAACTTCCGCTCTGGCCTGCTGCCCCCCTCCATCCCATTCATCTGTTCAGGGCCGAACCTACCTCAATGCGTGGCGGCTCTGCCCAAACCGAAAATCCAGCCCACACTCCCATGGAAATCCTTCCCCGTCCGCACGCACATTACTCATACGCACGGAAGTCGTAGTCGAGGGCTGACAGAACCCAAACTCCAAACTGAAGATCCCCGAGCAACCCCCGGTGGCAACAACCCCCGGAACTCCAATGGTGGTGGGGTTGGGGGGGTGGTGGGGGCTATGCCCATGCCCTACCCACAAAGAGCTGCCCCAGTCCACAAATTGTTGAACCCCACACGAAAAAGTTTGTGTGCGTCGTCTTTTGGCTTTTCATTCGTATTTATTTTTGTTTATTTATGTTTTGCTTGTTGTATTCTTTCCTCTCCCTCTCTCTCTCTCTCTCTGTCTCTCGCTCTCTCGCTCTGTTTGCTCTCTGACGTGCCCACCTTTGCAGGAATATGCTCCCTCTCGCTGTAGCTCTCTCTCTCACTCTCTCTCTGGGCTCTCTCTCTGCTCAGCTTTCGTACGGTTTTCACTTTCATTGTGCAGCTTTTGCTCTCAGCAGAACCGCTCTCTCTCTCACGCCGTCCCTCTCGCACAGAGTTCTGTTACTGTTTCTGTTTCTGGTTCTGTTCTGGCCTGTTGGAGCTTTTGCTTTTGCCGATTCATTCAAAAGAAATACGGCAAACGCAACGGTTGCGAGGCTTTCATCAGCAGCGCGCAAAAAACGAATTGGCCAACAAGCAAATCCCCCAAAAACCCGAAAGGGATAGACATATACACCCACACACACAGACACACACACACACACACACACACACGCGCACGCAGTGAGCGAAAGTGAGAGACAGAGTGAGAGCAATTTGTTCTTTTTTTTTTGGATTTTTTTTCGAATATTTATTGAAATGTGCAATAATTATATGGGCGACCTTATATAAGGCCCAAAGCAAAGCCCATTGTCAAGGGCAAAGAGTGTGTCGTCTAACATTGAGCCGTGACCGTGCCCCGTGCCCGTGCCCGTGCTCCGTGCCCCGTGTCCCGTGCCCGTGCCCCGTGTATCGTTTCGTATCGCATCGCATCGCCTCGAATCGTGGCCGCCCGTGTGTGTGTCCTTGTCCTTGTGCAGCGTCAGAGCCTCGTCCGAACAGCTGCTTGGCTCTGGGCTTTGGCCCTGCTGGGGTGTCCTTGTCCATGTCCCCGACGAGCGACGCCTTGCTCTTGAACCACCACCACACACGCTGCAGCACCGTGGAGCTCGGCTCCACCAGAGGACTACTCGTCGCAAGCCCAGGCACCCAGCTGTTGCTCCACAGCTCCACAGCTACCACCCACCCATCTGTTCAGTCAGTCAATAGTTCTGTATACTGTATATATGGGAATGTAGAGGCGGAAAACGAATCAGAATCAGAATGCGAGTCCGAATCTGAAGTCTGAAGCCCGTACGCGGACCCGGACCCGCACCCGAAACAGCTGTGAAAGAACCTCTCTCTCCTTCGGGGGCAAGCAAGCAAGCAGGCAGGCAAGAGGCATCTGTATCTGTATCTGCGTCGCAGTCGCAATGTGTTTCAACAAGCTATTCCTGATAAACAAATTCCCCAATCACTCAAACAGCACAAAGGTCAAATGTCAACAGCAGAGACAAACGGCAAAGGTGTAAAGCCCAAAACCCAAAGCAACAAAAAAAACAACAACAAAACACCAATCAAATTGTAATCAAATCAAGTGAACATTTCCAACAAATACAAATAAAGAAAGAAAAAAAACATAAGCCTGAAAAGCCGTCGAAATATACCGCAAAAATATACCAAAACAAAGCTCCCCCAAAACTCAACAAAAAAATACATAAATATATATTTTTAGATGTGTTTAAAAACTGACAGAAATACTCCTACTTCGTACTCCTAAAATCGTACAACAAATGAATTGAATTGAATATTTACTGCTCAGGTTTACAACAACAACAACAACAACAACAAAAATAATATTAAAATAAAAAATAAAAACGGATCTGCAACAAGGCGTTGTGTTTCATGTGCAAAATCTTAAGGAATCTTTAAATATATCTACTATAACTAAACATACACACATACATATATACATACATATATATATATATATTTTTGGAAAAAATTACTGAAAAAAAAATAATATGTATTTAACAAAAAACAACAACAAAAATCTTGTGAATCGTGTATAAAATATTACAAATATTATAAGCAGCAAAAGAAAAACAAAAACAAAAACAACAATATAATCAATTTAAACGACAAACAAATCGAAAGATCTTAACTATACATCCAATAGGCGGTCATCATATATACATATATATATATATATATATTCTTATAGTACATATTAATCAACGATTTTCAATCAAACAATCCATCAATCAAGCCAACAATCAAGCGAGCATTGTGCATACATACACACATCTCTATTTATAACTAAATGTAAGTAGAAAATAAAATATAACCAAGTGATAGATCCTGTAGGGCTTTGCTAATAGAGATCCTATATTGCTTTTCGAATATTCCAAAATTCTGTAAAATATCATTGCCTAATTCCTTCAACCCTCCAGATAGAACCCTCCTAGGATGCCTAGCCGCAAATATCTATGATAACCAATGTGTATCTTTTATTATTTCCATTCCTTAGATACTTTAAAAAAACATACTCAGAAGCTGCTGTGGAAAGGTCAGGTCCTGTGTAAACCATCAAGTATTATTAGCACCTAACAACAAAAACCGAACTCAGACTCGGAAAACACTCTCAGAGCCGAAAGAAAGACAGCGAGAGAGAAAGAGAGAGCGATCACATCCAAAAACTCAGTCGGAAAACTCATCTCATCCTCAACGGAAGAAGCCTCAACACACACACAAAAAAAAAAAAACAGAGAAATATATACATATATTTTGAGAGAAAGTGAAAGA